CTGCTCCTATGATGCTGCTTGGCCTGCTGTGTTCATCCAGCTTTGCACCTTGTTGTCACAGTCCTTAGAAATATTGGCTTTTTTTTTAAAGAAAAAGTTTTGTGTTTATTGGACATAATCTGCTGCCCTGACTTTCATTAAAAGATGCTGTCTTCTATATATAAAAGAGCAAAGTTTGTACATCTTAAATGCCAACTTTTTTTTCCTTGCAGGTTGGCCTTGCAGTTGTTAATGGGCAGCTGATGGCAGTGGGTGGCTTTGACGGCACTACTTACTTAAAAACTATTGAAGTTTATGATCCAGATGCAAATACATGGAGGTGAGCATTGATGGATTGCTTGTATAATAGATTTGCTGCTCAGACCTACTTGCAATATAGATCATTGCGCTGACATTATGATGATTTGTATGCAGATCAGAAGAATGTTAAGCCAGCAGTTTGTTTCTTGACTGTATGGCCCTCCTTCCTCCTCTTTGCATTCCATAGATTTAGTTGCAGTAAGTGTCCAATGGATTGAAAATTTAATATGTTCATAAGACTGACTCCTGCATCATCCAGCAATTGACATCTCTTGTCAACTGTACTCATTTTACATGTGAAAAACTTTTAAAGAGGCAGTATTGGTTAACAGAGTTAGTGGAATCCTGGATTTTGTAACATAGAGGCACTGGGCACAAAAACAAAAGGTTATGCTGAATCTATGTAAAATTATGATTCTGCCCCACATGGAACATTGTATCTAATTCTGTGGACTACACATTAGGAAGGATGTCTTTTGGAGAGGGTAACAAAAGTGATTTAATAGAAAACTTTCAGAGTTGAACGCTTACAGTTACATGGATAGACTGAAGAAGCTGGTGTTGAAATCTTTAAAGCTGGGAAGGCTAAAAGGAGAGTTGATAAGAGATGTTTTCAGTAATGACTAGGTTAGATAGTAAATAAAGGATGCTTTTTCCAGTAGCTGCAGGAGCAATAAGAGGAGGGCATGATTAAAGTGGCTAGTAAAACAACTAGAGGCAACATGAAAAATTTAAAGCAACCACTGGTTAGGATTTGGAATGTGCAATCTGACAAGTTTATGGATCTGTTTTAATAATAATCTTCAAAAAGAAATTGAATACATACTTGAAGAAAAATTCGGAGGGATATGGGGAACGGTGGATTAACTAGATTGCTCTTTGAATGATTTGGTGCAGGCTTTTATTGGGCTGAATGGGCACCCTCTGAGCTGTGATATTCTTTGAAATTCATAGACCACTTGACAACAGGGAGCATCTTAAAGACACAAGAAATAGCAACAGTAATAAGGCCATTCAGTCCCCTTAATTTAAAAAACACTTTGCTAGGTGAGTAATATCTTATACAGATCATGTTTCTTTGAAAGGAGTAAAGTGTAAAACCTTAAATATTGAAATATCATGAAAGTAGTTTGACTTTAAAATGTCTAATGGAATTGGCAATCACCAAACCAAATAGTCAGCTTCTTTCCTGTATCACATTGAATTCATCCAGAGTTGATGGGTGAGAATCCAGTAAGTCAACAGGCAACAGTGAGGTAGATGTTACTTCAGGGAGGAAGCTGTGATGATTTTATTGAATAACATGAATCGACTTTGGATATAAAATCCGATATTTACAGCATGGAAGGAGGCCACGATCATTGTGCCTATGCCAGCAGACAAGTAGCAATCCAGCTTAATTCCACTTCCCAGTTCTTGGTTTACCTCTAAACGTTATGGTAATTCAAGTGCAAATCAATCTAGAGTTTCTGTTTCTACTACCCTTCAGATGGTAAGGCCATTCAGTCTCCTTAAGTCTGCTCAGCCATTCAATAAAACTATGGCTGCTCCTCTCTTATCAATCAAAAATCTGTCTGTTTTCTCAAATATATTCAATGGCCCTGCCTCCTGAAAGAAGTGAGTTTAGCAAGGCTTAATGGAATATATTTTATTGTAAGGACCCTAAGGAACAAGACAGATGAACTGAGCCACAGACAGGCACGTGGCAGTACATACTGAATTGACATATGGAGGTAGTTTTCTACATGTGCACTTATGAATCACGAGTAAGTAAACCAATTTACATCTTTGAGAAAGGCAGAAGCTTGAGGTGGCTCATTTTTATTTTTTCTTTCCTTTCATCCCTTTGCCACAAAAACAGATTATATGGAGGTATGAACTATCGCAGACTGGGCGGTGGAGTGGGTGTGATCAAAATGACGCACTGCGAATCCCATATATGGTAATCTGTAAACTCTGGAATCTTTGCTGCTATTGGATGCTGTAATTGTTTCGGAGCAAATATTTTAAATTTGGTGGAATCTGGCTGCTTTTCAGTCAAAAGAAGAGAGTTGCTCTCCATTAAGTAACCTGAAGACAGTTTGGTGCAATACATATTCTGTGGAAAAACTAGACTTCTAGGTAAGTCTAGTGACTAGTTCTAAGGATGTTAATATTGGTGCCTACTATTTGTGTGTGGGGAAAGCTTTCTTACTGAAACCAGTTGATAGTACCTTGGTGGTTAAACTGGAAGTGCAAAAGAGTTGCATACTCGCGGACAGAGATGAAATTGATTTTCTAATCTTTCAACTTTTGAGGAATTTAAAAACTGAGGTGAGAAGAAGTATCAGTGTGCAGCATGACAGAAGATTCTTCAGAGCAACTAGCATATGGAAACCATGTGCAAACCTACAGTTGCCTATCAAACCGAACAGTTCACAATTCCACATGTTGCAGTTTAAAAAGGAAACTGTCATGAGTGTTAAATGAGCAAATGAAAGTTCTTTTAGTTGCTGTCCACTAGAGAACCATAGTAATACCATGCACAGCTACTGTAATGTACTTTTTTCCTGATGTTTACTATTCTGTTTTTGGTGCAGTGAATGTGGTTTCTTCTATTCAGGATATATAACAGGAGTGTTACATAGTCCTGTGCTCCCCGAAATGTTACATAACTGGAAACTTCTTGAAGGGCACTGTATTCATGAGAAAGTGTATAGCAAACCTTTATTCCCTTCAGTCACAGGAGCACAAAATGATATACATCATGTCACTTGAGCATGAAACTGTTATAACCAAATATGGTGCATGGCTCCTCCTCCCGGAAGCCAAAAAAAAAGTTTGGAAAAGACTTTCTCAGACTTGACTGAAAAATAATTGTTCTTGAACAGTATTTCATCTTACCAGACCCCTCTCATTTGTGCTTACAATGTTACAATGAAAATTTTAAAAAGTTGGCTACAGCACCTCTGCTGCTCGTGAACATTAAGTTAATTTTATAAATTGGTTGGTTGGTATGGAGCATTTTCAAAGCCTTTGACAAATGTTCAGTAGTAATGAGATTTTTACAAAGGAATCCATTGCCTGCCTTTGTCACTAGGATGGGTAATAACAGTTTACTAAGGCTAAGTGACCTTTTGATTGTAGATGTTCTATATTTTGGTCATAAGATTATCTCCAACAGAATGGTAGAAATATCCAGGTATGATCTTAACTGACAAAAATCTTCTTGACAGTGACCATTATGGTATTAAGGGATGGAAGTTTGGAAATTGGATCTTAATTCAAAGAATTGACCTTATCTGCAGTATTTTACTTTGCAGTGATCGGAACATTGCTATTGTGCAAGACATTCAGTTTGTAAAGCTGCAGGTATCTTCAATTGTTCAAATGATCATAGATGTTTCATTTTATTCAGCATTCACTTCAGTTGGAGCTAGAGATCAGAAGGACCCGCAAACGTTTGTTTCATGTGCTGTAATAGCTGTTTTAGATTCCTGTTGTTTTGCTTCCCCTTTCCACAAAATGATGGACTTTTCAGACCTAGTGTAAATCCAGATCTAAATGATAATTTCACATTTTGCAAAGAGAAGTTGTCAAAGAGCTTCACAGAATTAAATACTTTTTGAGGGGCAGTCATTATTCTATGGACAATTCTGTACCAGTAATCTGAGGGATGGGGTGAGCAATAGTTAATTTTTCTTTCTCCTTCATGCTCATTAATTAGGGAAAGAATATTGCTGAATGATTTGCACAAATCTTGTTGTTTGAAGTAGATTTGCAGAATTACTGTCTGGCAGTGGAATGTCATTCTGCCACTGAAGTACTCAATCACGTCCTACTCTTGGTTGATGTTTTACATTCTAATGGTGTAGGCTAGGAGGTAGACCATTTTGCATTGCGTTGCTGTAAACCAGTATGCAGAATTGTTGACATAACATTTCAATCATAGCCCTGAATAATTCTCTTCTACAGATATTTTACACCAGAACACCTACCCCAGCCACATGTAATGCTTTGCAGGGCTTGAAAACCCCCTTATCATTTATTGAATCTAATTGAATGCGTAGTGCTTTGTCTTTTTTTCTGGGGAAAAAAAAATTAGCACTCTCAAATATTCAAATGTCAGTAAAAGTCTTGGTGTTGAGGTGTTTGGTTTTGTTTTTAAGAAAATCTGTACTATGTCCCATTTTATTGTATTTATTGTAAACAGTTTATTGAATCAGATTCCAGAAATGTTTTCAGTAAATTGATCTGGAAGAAATCCATCTTGTTCTTTCAACCTCAAACTTTATCCAGCCTATTGTATTAAAGTTTTATTAGTCACACACTGTTACAATGGCATAGAAATAAACCTTTTACCGCATCAAGTCTGTCTTTTTATCCCAAGCTGTTCATGCTAATCCCCCTTTCCTACTTTGAATGTTCTTGAATTATTTTAAATTAGAATATTAATAGACTCTAAGAAAAACTTGCATTTATGTTATAACTTTCAGGACCTTGGGATGTGTGCTTTATAATCATTTAAAGAAAACAACTTATTCCTATTGTCACATAGGGAACATGACAGGCATTTACTTACTCTGAGCTCCCACAGAAATTTGATAGTGCCCAGATAAGAAGTTTTAGTGCTTTGTCAGGATAAATAATGGCTGAAACATCGGAGAACTGAAACAAACAAGAACAGAAATTGCTGGAGAACTGGTCTGCTTTTCTTAGTGTTATGTGATCTTTTACCTTTGTTGAACCTCTCGCATGCAGTGGTTATAGTGTCAGCTGAGATTCTGTACTCGTGGCCATGGAGTGGCACCTGATTCTACAATGGTCTGACTTGAGGGTAGCTTGTGTCAAAATTTTCTTTCTTAATTCTTCAATAAATCATACTTGTTTCACAACGATATAAGTTATCCAGTTTAAAACATTATTTTCAAAATGTTGTTTAATTAAAAAAGTGTAGTAGGTGATAGTTGCAGCAACTATCTGACACCAGGCAGAATCAAGGCAAGGAATATCCCTCAAAGACAGTCATTTAATACAACATATTAAGCTGTTGCACCTTGTACTTATCAGGGTTTTTTTTTCAAATTCAGGGTGTCATATTAGTACTTTTCTATAATCTACATAGCTTTGGTTGCAAGGTATGCACAAAGTGCACATGAAATGCCTATGACAGACAATTGTGCAGTGGTTAGTGCAAAGCAGCAAGGTACAATGCCATTTTTGTATATTCGCTATGCTTCCTTCATGTGAGCATATTGCAGTTTCCATGTGACATGTTTGTTTGATAGGAATGGATAGCATCAGCCCCAAAATGTGTATCTCACAGATGAGATGAACAGCTCAAACGCAGCAGTAATCGAAGACAGTTATTTATTATAAATTATTTTAGTTTTTCCCTTATCCAGTGAGAACTGATGTCACCTCCTTTAACTTTAAAAAAAAAATCAAATTACCACGTTAGTACTACCATATTTATTTGCTATCATTGCTAAGGTAGAAATGTGCAGAAGGAATATTAGTTGTGCTGCTTTGATTATTAAGTTTCTACTATTGCATCACTTCGAATTTTTCAAAAGCAGACAAGAAATGAACAATTGTGTATTTTCCACAAATAAAATGTTTTGTTTACATGGAAACACTACTACCTGCAAGTTTTGCCAGCCACTCCCATCAGGACTTTAAAATATGATCACTGTTCTTTAAGCGGTTTGGATCAAAATCCTGAAAATCTCTCCCTAATACTATCGTTGCTGTATTTGCACCACATGGACTATGGATGGGTGATAAATACTGGCCTTTCCAGTGAAACCCACAACCTGAGTGATTTTTTTAAAAAAAAAACTTTGCTAGGTGAGTAATGTCTTAGATAGATCATGTTTCTTTAAAAGGAGAAAATGTAAAACCTTAAACGTTGAAATATCAAAGTAGTTTGGCTTTAAAACGTCTAATGGAATTGGCAATCAGCAATCACCAAATAGTCAGCTTCTTTCCTACATCACATTGAATTTATCCAGAGTTGATGGGTGAGTCCAGTAAGTCAACAGGCAACAGTGAGGTAGATGTTACTTCAGGGAGGAAGCGGTGATGATTTTATTGAATAACATGAATTGACTGTGGATATGAAATCTGATATTTATAGCATGGAAGGAGGCCACGATCATTGTGCCTATGCAGACAAGTAGCAATTCAGCTTAATTCCACTTCCGAGTTCTTGGTTTAAATTCTATATGTTACGGTACTTCAAGTGCAAATCAGTCTAGTGAGTTCCTGGTTCTACTATCCTTCAGACAGCAAGTTCCAAATCCCTGCTCATAGATGAAGAATATTTTGCTGAAATTTCCTTTAAATTTATGTCTACTGGTTATGCTACCAGTAAGGTAAATAAGACTCTATTACTTTAAGTTCTCCTCAGCTTCTTCTTCCAAAGAAAATCTCCAGTCCACACAATATTCTCAAATCCCTCTATACTTTCCAGTGCAATAAATTTTCAAATAATATGGTGTCCATCATTGCAGTACTGCCGTTATAGCCTAAGTAATTAGAGCATAACTTCAATGCTGTATCCTAATAAAAAGGTAATTATAAAAAGTCATTTGAGAAACTAGATTACCTGATCATCTACTGTAATACACTCCAAGATCTCTATTCCTGTACACTTCTTAGTATGCTACCATTTATTGAACTTTCCCTTGCCTCATAGCTTTCTTCAGATGAGTTCTGTTCACCTGACTTGACCATTCATGTTCTGTAGTCTCCAACCTTCATTACAGGCAATACAAAAACTGACCATTTTGTTGATTTAAACTTTGTATTCCTTACATTCAAGTCCAAAGCATTTACATATTGCGTTAAAAAAACCAGGGACCTAGTATTAAGCCTTGTAGAATCCTAGTGGAGCCATCCTTCCAGTGATGAAATCACCCTTTGAATTTTCTGAGCAATAGAGAGGCAAGAAACAATCAATCAGATTAGACAAAATATTCCTTCAATGATGGCAGCTCAACAGATTGGAAATATTGATCTGATTTGTCTTCAGATGCTGCTGGACCTGTTGAGCTTCCCTTCAATCAAAGCCAGCACAGATTTAATGGAATTGAAAGATTAGTTACAAATGATTACAATCAACAGATCAGAGGCTACAACTTAGAACATAAGAAAAGTAGGACATTCAGGCCTGCCCAGTTTATCATTGATTAATATCACAGCTGATCGGATCACAGCCTCAACTCCACGTTCTTGTCTGCTTATCTGTTTCATTCAAATCGCTTGTGATTTTGAGAACTTACATCAAATTTCCTCTTACTCTTTAGCTGTCCAAGAAAAATAGACCCAACTCACCCGGTCTATTTTCATAAGTGATGTTTCTGAGCCCTGGAACTACTCTTGTAAACCTCTTCTGTACTCTCCAACACGTTCACATCCTGTCTAAAGTGTGGCACCCCGAACTGTACATCTTATTCCAGCTGAGGTCCAACTAGTGTCTTAAGTTTGCTTTTGTACTCTGTCCTAGCAGACTATATTTAACTGCTCTTGCCTCCTGCCTTGCTACTTTTAAATAATGTATGCACAATCTTTAGAATAGTACCCTTTATCCTAAACTGTTTCTCCATGTTCTTTCTACCAAAATGTATCTCACTTCTCTATATTTAACTTGATCTAACACCTATCAGTCTAATTCAACTTGTCAGTGATCTTTTGAAATTCTACACTGCTTCCAAATTTTGTATCATCTGCACACTTGTAAATGTTAATGAATGGGGACAATTTTAAAGTTTTCCTCCCGTCCAAAAAGTGTTTATTAACCCTCATTCCTTTTCTTTTTTCCCTTCCTCTCCCTCCCTCCCTCCCTCCCTCCACCCCCCACACTCCAAGCTGACAGCTCTGAATTTGTTTGCCCTATCTTTCCCCTTTTAAGGGAATATACCTCAACTGTGCTAAAACCATTTCTTAAAGTAGACCATCGTTCAGCTAATTTTTCCTACCACTCTTTGGCTCAAGTCTATCCAGTTTAGTTCCCTTCTTGCCCAGAGGTTGGCTTTACCTCCAGTTACTTAATTGTTCATTTTTCTTTTCCTTTCATCTGCCACATGCTGCAACTCATCAGCTGACTGTCCCTTTATCATATTTTAATTAAATAATTCAAGTTTTAAAATACTAATGGCTGTTTGTAGTTATCTTCAGTAATTTAAATTAAGTGATAAATTAAAATCCAGTTCTTCATCTCCTTATTGTTTGGAGAAGGAAGCACCATAAAACCCAGCAATCACCACCAGCTCACCTGATTAATGTCTCTAGAGCTCAGCTTTCAGGTTGTCGTCTTGCACCTTCAGGGAAAATATCAGTTTAGTAACACCAAATTCCTGACTTAAGTACACTGTCAATGCTGGACTCCACGTAGGGTCAAAGTAAGGATGAGACGAGGTTGAGTGAAGTCAAGGATAGGTAAGTCAGGATATTGTTTCACATTGTCCAGTCATCTAACTAAGTTTAAAAAGTAACATTTGTTTATGATTCTTGCACTATCATATGCACACACTTTGAAACAGTTTAAAAAAAAAGAAAAAAGCACCAATTTAGGTTCCAATACTTTATTGAAGGTCACCAACATCTTCAGGTAAGACAACCGATTTCTCTTGGTTCAACAATAAGTGAGGATAACTATCTGTATGAACACATGATGATGAAATTGTTAAGTTTCCAGAAGGATTTGGAAATTGCAGGCCTTCCCACTGGATTACGTGAAGTAAATCTGTATTAAAAAAAACTGGGATAATATTCCCTAGAGTAAAATTTGTTCAACACAAACCTTGACTACAAGTCCCGACATCACAAAAAGTTGAATAAAGTTTGTGCAATGTTATTTTTAAAAATGGGACATAGTCCCTTCAGGTCACATCTATTAAAAGAGTCAGAAGCTGACAGTTGCAGCTGGCATACTGCACAAGGACCCAAAGATAATGTGGTTTTAGCAGCTCAGTTTCTTCATGAACAGATGAAAAGTTTTTGGCATAAGCAGCCAGTCTGCAGAAAAAGTTTTTAATATTTCTGGGCACTCTCAAAGTCACATCTGTTTTTCCTTCTGCACATCCAATGATTGTGATTCAGTCTAATGACTGGTTGTTTTCAGAGCAGGAAAATTGTCTGAGGGTCCAAGGGAGGATATGTTGTGATCCGGTCAAATTTAATCAATACTGCTGCAGAGACGTGGTTGGTACTGTATCTGATGAAAAGCCAGCTCAGTTAGGAATGGCAGCACATGGTCTATATGCTTGCAGTTGAACAGCTGTCAGAAAGACAAAGAATAACTAGCACTATTATGTATATGAATAAATCTTAAAATTAGATGAGCAGCAGTACACTCTTCAGATTTATGCAGTGAGAATCAAGCACATGCCACGAATGATTAAAACAAGCAAAGCAACCACTTTCTTACACTGGAAGGGTGTTCATGCTTTTATTATATTAAAGGAGGGAGTGGGGAACATAATACAGTTTTGCAGAAATGGGTGTGGGGGATTTTCAAACTGGTACAACCAATTGTATATCTGACTGGAGACAGCACACTGTCAGTAGGACCAAACAAAGTTATGACACAGTAAGAGGCCATTTCAACCCATCTTGTCTGCCAAATGACTAAACTAGCTGCCTGTTCTAATTCCACCTTCAAGATTTGGTGTGGCACATGCAAGTTACAACATTTCATGTGCAAATCCAGGTTCCTTTTACGTAAGTTAGTTTCTGCCCTCAATGACTACACTGGGACAGCAAATTCTAGACACCCACCACCCTCTGCTTTTTCCTCATGTCCCTTCAAATTCTTCTACCTGTGCTCCTTGGTGATTAACTTCTCTGCTAGGGGTAATAAAAGTGTTCCCCTTCCATTCTATCAAGCCCCTAATTATTTTGTACACCTCAGCCTCCTCTCTTCCAAAAGAACCCCAGCATATCCAGTCTGTCCTCACAGCTGCAATTTTCAAGTGCTGGCAACATGGCTTATAAACTTCTTAGTACTACCTCTAAAGCAATTGTCTTTTCAGTAATGTGGTGACCAAAGTTGTACACAAAACTGCAGCTGAGGCCTAACCAGTCTTCTATCCTTGCTTTGTATTCAATAGCTCAGTGAAGGAAAGCATCCTATTTGTCTTTTTTACCACTTTACCTACCTGTTCTGGCACCTGCAGGGAGCTGTGGGCATGTACTCCAAGGTCTCTTGCTTCCTCCAACCCTCAATATTGTGCTGTTAACTGTGCATTCCTTTGCTTTGTTTGCCTTTGCTAAAACCTCAACTTCACTGAGTTTGAATTTCATTTGCCACTTTTTTTGCCCACTCAGTAATACAGCACAGAAACAGATCTTTCAGTCCAAGCCGACTAGGACCCCAAACTAAACTAGGCCCACCTGCCTGTGCCTGGCCCATATCCCTTTGAACCTTTCCTATTCATGTACTTATCCAATGTCTGTTAACATTGTAATAGTACCTGCAGCCACCATTTCCACTGGCAGTTCATTCAGTATACAAACCACCCTTGGATTTCAAAGGGACCTGAGGGGCAACTTTTTCACACCATCTCCTTGCACCTTAAAAATATGCCCCTAGTTTTGAAATCGCCTACCCTATGGGGAAAAGACACCAGCCATGATTTTATGAATTTCTATAAGGTTACCCCTCAACCTCCTATGCTCCAGAGAAAAAAGCCTATCCTTTTAGCTCAAACCTCCCATTCCTGGCAACATCCTGTTAAATCTCTTCTGAACCTTCTCTGGCTTAATAATATCCTTAGTATTCCAGAAGAGGCCCCACCAACATAGCGTACACAATCTCAACATCACTTTCCAACTCCTATACTCGAGCTTTGAGCAACGAAGGCAGGTGTGCTAAATGCCTTCTTAACCACCCTAACAATGTGATGCAAACTTGCAATAATTACGTACCTGAAGCCCTAGGTCTCTCTATTCTAAAACACTACTTCAACAAACTTGATATCAGCCATCCTGTTCACAACCAATTACATGGTCAATTCATATTGTCTGCAAAAATCACATTCTAGTGTAAATCATTAATATACATGACAAATGCAAGAGATCCAACACAGCACTGAAACCCCACTTGAAACCCCAAACCATTTACAAAACCATCTATTGCCCATCCCAGTTTCGTCACTGAACCAGTTTTGGATCTGTCTTGCCACATTTCCTTGTATTCCTGAATTTTAATTTTTGACCAGTCTGCCCATGGGACCTCATCAAATGCTTTACTGAAACCCATGTAGTCAACATCCATTGTATTACCCTCAATTCTTTATTATTTTCTCAAAAATAAGTTAAGACAGCGAGATGTAACCTTCCCTTAATGCAACCATGCTGACTATGCCCAATTAATCCATGCCTTTCTAAGAAGCAGCAGTTAATTCTCTCTCAATATAGATTCTAATAATTTGCTCACTGAGATCAGACTCCCCAATCTATAATTATTTGGCCTGTGCTTCTATTTTTGAATAATGGTACAGCACTTGCAGTCCACTAATGCTGTGATACCATCCTCCTCTAGTGAAGGCTGGAACATGACCCTCTGAGCATCCACCATTTGATTCAGCTTCCTTTACCAGTCTAAAGGATACATTTTATCCATTTAAATAAAACAAACACCTGTGGATGCCGGAGACCTGAAAGAAAAACAAAATTCGCTGGACTAACTCAGTGGGTCTGGCAGCATCTGTGGGAAGGAAGCACTAGAATGTTTTCATCATTCTTTTTGAAATTAATTATTCATTAATAATCTTGCATAATTATCTGCACTCAAGTTAAAGTGTACATTTGAAATGACCATTTTCTTAATCTTCTTCCCCAATGTAGTTCGGAGAGAATTAGATATTCCTTCATTTTAACCAGCTAATTTTTTTTATTTTTCTTAAAATATATCTTCTTGCTTTAATTTCTTTTTTTGTGAAGAGGAGTGAGATTCATAGTCACACAGCATAGAAACAGCCCTTTGACCCACCAGTTTTATTCCCAACCAAAAGAAAAAACACCAAACTATACGAATCCCATTTATCTGCACTTGGTTCATAGCTGACCATGACCTGGCATTTTAAGTGTTCATCCAGATGCTTCTTACATGTTGAGAGAGTGTACCTACCTCCACCTTAAGCAGCTTGCCCATATTTCTGCTACTCTCTGGGTGAAATTTTCTTTCCTTAAAATCTCCTCTAAACCACTTACTTCTCCCCGAAACTCTTGCCCTCTGGTCTTAGGCATGTCTGCCATGGGGAAAGATTCTGACAAACTATTCTGCCTATGCCTGTCAACTTTGTATATCTCAATCAGATCCCCCATCAGCCTCCTCTGCTTCAAGGAAAATAAACCCAGCCTATTCAGTCTCTCCTCATAACTGACTTTTCATCCCAGGCAACATCCTGGTGAATCATATCTGGACCCTCTCCAGTGCAATCATGCCATTCCAATAGTATGGCAATGAGAGCCACACATGGTATTCCATCTGTGGCCTAACCAATGTTTACCCCTGTATTCTCTATACTCCAAGTCTCCTAAAATATTATGTTCCCTGAGATTGTCATAAGTTCTTTCTATTTTTCTGCTTTAGTTTATCACATGTGCTTCTGAATAATGGGGGAGGGGTGTAGATTTGGCACTACACCTGTTTTTCCTTGTTGGAACACATCTACACTACTCAGAACATCACTTGGAATTCAATTTTTCTGACAGTTCATGTAAAAGTGGTCTAGATATTAGATCATCTCAGCTTTGTAAATTTGCCTTGCCCTGATTTAGAACATTTACTCTAATTGTTGTCCCTTTCCAGTGACCATAGATTTGTCATTGTTATCTCAAATGGATCACCACTGCTACTTCATCCACCTGCCCAATTTCATTTCTTGAGACTACATCTAGAATTTTGCCCTTTCATTGGCTTGTTACATGCTAGCTAAAAAAAAGTGCAGTTCAAGAATTTTGTGTCCTTTTGCTTTCAGAGTTTGTATTCCAGTTGATAGTGAAATAGTTGAAGTCCCCTATTATTTGTCCTAATGTTTCTACACTCAAAGTTGCCCACATATTTGCTTCTGACTCTCCCAGTAAATAAGAAAATCAATCAAACTGCAGTTGTCTGCCAGGGCAAATCCCTGCACTGTTAATGGATGAAAATGTTTATGCTGTTGGGTACATGACAGGCAGAACAAATATATTAAGACAATTTTAGTTTTGAACTCAGAACAAAAAGACTCAAAATTCAAGATTGTAAGATTCCAGCATTTCAGAAGGTAGAATATTTTCTAGTCTGTGGAGCTTCCAAGCCAATAGAGTTTGGATAGAAATTTAAGCTGTCAAAGTTTAGGAATTATGACAGCTTCATGCCATCAAATTTGGAAAGAAATAATTTAAAAAGCTCAGCATTTAAGTACAGAAATAAAAAAAAACATTAGTTAAGCAAAGATTTAAATAGATGGTCATAATATTTCTGTGGGATTAAGTCTTCATAACAGACGATGGGAAACAGGTTGAAACTGTCTTGATGTTTGTATTAAAGTTTAAAAATCTTGTTTATTTATTCTTTTGTGTAATAAAACTTATGTTCTCTGTTAAATAAGATCTGCAGCCTCATGTGAATATGCTTCAGTGATTAACCAGTGTTAACCAACTGCAGAAATTAAATGTGATCTAGCTGACAGCATCCTAACTTGTACTAAATCCTGTTTGGATGATAATGGAATAGTATAGGTTAGATGGGCTTCAGATTGGTTTCACAGGTCGGCGCAACATCGAGGGCCGAAGGGCCTGTACTGCGCTGTAATGTTCTATTAAGCTAGGTTCCATTTTTACATTGGATTTGTCCAATTTTAATGGGATTACACTTCAGAATTTTTGACAACTGCACTTTTGTATAAAGGCCCTTCAGAAAAATTTGAAAGCCTTCGTAGAAGAAATAAAGGGAGAAGTTTCTACAATGCAAACTGAAATTGCATACTGGGGCCATTTAGAAATTGAATTTTTCTAATGGACTGATCTGGAGGACACTGGACCCGAACCTCTCTGGACCCACCATTGTGCTCCCACTGGACCCACGCTGGCCCTTCAGATCTAACCTCTCACCCTCTGCTCCTCTCTCCCCTTCTAGTCTCAAACTATCCAGAACCAGAGCAGACCCAGACCCCTCCTCCACCTTCCCAAGCAAGACTTTACTACTGTAAATGAATTCACCTGTCTGGTGCTCTTAACCCCTTACCCATTGGGCATCTTCACCTCAACTACTTCATCTTTCACAGAAGCTGTCAAAATGCTTGACTATGGTGCTGGACATTTAAATCCCAGAACACAGCATTACTGACAAAATAGGGGTGTGAAGGGGTGTGGTTTTGGACCTAATTTTTCCTACTGCTAAATTAGTGGATTTCTGGTCAGGTTTTTGCAAGATGATTTATTTATTTATTTTTTTTAAATTCAATTGACTGATTTATTATTGTCACGTGTACTGAGAGATGATCAAAAGTATTGTTTTTCACACTATCCAGACAAATCATAACTTACATAAGTACACCAAGGTCATAGAACAGAATGTAGTGCTACAGCTAAAAAGGAAGCTGCAGAGGAAGATCAACTCTGTCCAAGAATCTCTGGTGCAGAAGACTTTGAAAGGCAAGTGTGTAATTTTTAATATCTGCACTCTTGATTAGAGTACAGTTTCTTCAAATTTAAGTACTCCTTTGCACCATTGATAGGGGATTATACAAACCTCAGTTACTTAACATGCAAATTAAGCTACAAACTAGTCACACACACTTAAATGCTGAATGGGATGAAAAAATGTTTCTCTCCACCCCTATGCAAATCTCAACTTCTTAGAAAATTAGGTCATTTGTAATCTATTTTCTTACTGTTTCCAGTTTCCATTTTATATAAAGTACTCCTACCACCTCTGTTTCTGTTCTGCTCACAATGGAACACTATATGTAAGGATGCAACAGGACCCACCAACTGGTTGCAAGGGTACTCATGGCTGATCTAGAGATTATTCTGTGCTGCTAATCTTGGGAAAAGCTGTATTGGAGCTGCTGTTTACCGAGTTTAGATTTGAACAAGCAGATCACCATGGGAGGAGAATTAATAGAAACAAGACATTACGAAACAGTTAATCTTCTTGAAATTGTATACATTGAAGTTACAGCTGATTGGGTTCAGGTTGAGAACACAAGAGGAGACACAGACCACACAGCCCCTTGAATCTGCTTTGTCATTCGATATTATCTTGGCTTATTACTGACATCAACTCCACTTTCCTACCTGCTTCCTGTAGTCCTAGATTCTGAAAGGCCAAAAATTTCTCCTAAAATACATTTAATTATATTAATAAAAAATTGATGGAGAATAGACTATACTGAAAATTCTCTGCAGAATTAGTGCTGTGGAAGATGGTGGCGTAGTGTCAATGGACTAGAAATCCAGACCCCAAGCAAGTTGTAGCAAATGATGGAAATCTGAACAAAAACAGATGGCTGGAGAAACTCAGCAGATCTGGCAGCATCTGTGGAGAGAAAGTAGTTAATTTTTGTGTCATGTATTCTGCAGGAGTGTCACTGGACCTGAAACTAACTCTGCCTTCTCTCCACAGACTCTAGTTCCTCCAGCATTCTCTGTTTTTGTTTCAGATTTTCTGGGGACATTAGTTAAAACCTCACCATGACAGATAATGAAATTTGAATTCAACCAAAGTCTAAAGTAAAAATCTGAAATCTGGCAACCATGTAACCATTGTCAAATGTCAAAAATTGATTTTGTTAACTAATGGCCTTTAGGGAAGGAAATCTGCTGTTCGTACCCAGTCTGGTCTATGTATATCCAGAGCAATAATGTTGACTTTTAATTATTGTCTAGGCATTTAGGAGGGGTGTTAAGTGCGCTCCTAGCTCGGGACAAAAAAAAACAAGAAAACAAATTCACCATCCATTTGAACTCCAAACAGTATTGGTTTCTTACCTTTAATTTGCCGTCACAGTGAGCAGATGCTACAGCTGTTGATACCTTTACTAGTTGTGTAGCTGCAAGCCGCACCCCAAAATGCCTGTAGAAGTGTGAATGGAGGCTGCTCATAAATAGCTCCACCTCCTCAATGGTGATTTCATCCTCGTTTGTGTGAATGCTGTCCCACAGCGCTTTAGCATCCTCTGGGTGAATACTAAGTGAAATGGTCAGTTGTATAGGGGGCACAAACCACTCCAATTCCATCATCCGTTGAACAGAGTCTGAGAAACAATTGGCCCACATGGCAGCCATCCACGTCAGGTTCTCTGACCTAATGGGAAAGGCACTGATGTAACAGTCAAATGTTTTCTGCAACCATTCCCCGACCATGGTTGTAACTGTTTCAGGGCCATTAGCAAAAAGCAAAGGTAGACAGATAAACTCCACGGGGAGAGATTCCAGCAAGCCCAAGTCTCCATCAACACAGCACATCCACCCAGACCAGACAACTTTCTCATCAACAGACTGACGGACTGCAGTTTTTGCCATTATCTACAAAGAAGCAGAAAGTCACTTTTATTTCAAGTTTCACAATACTAATTTATTTACTCTTACTGAAGGTGCTAGCATAATGCTGTTCAAGGCTCCAACAGTTTTAAAGTGTCACCCAAATGGCAGTTCTTCAAACACAAGACTGCACAATAGTTTTGGACATTTCATAACCTCAGACACTGCATCATAATTATTGATGGTCAATCTGAATCAAAACTTAAATCCCAAATAAATCATCTTCTACAGCTTAGGGATGTAGATGCCAATAGCCATAACAATTGAGCAGAGATCAGCTCACACATCTAGGTCCAGGATCAACCTATAGTACAGTACATTATAGCTGACAACTCAAATGGCCTACTCCTGCTCCTAATGTGGTGAAAATAATAAACTGTGGGCATTGTCAGGCAATTTATTTTTAGTGTCAATCACTGTATGTGGACAACCACAAGCATGATCTTTACAACTCAGGTCAGCATCTTACCTCCTTCACATACCGATGTGCCAACATTCAATGCTGCCATTTTCAAGGTTACCAAAATTGTCAGGGTATTTTTATCTCCCCAATCATAAAGCACTTTAAATTTCCTGATCAGAAATTTATAATAAACTGAACTGAATACACACAATGAACTCATTCTCCAGGCTACCTTTAGTTCAATCTATGAGGTTAAAATCAAGTGATTATCATCGAGAAAAACAAAAAACAAAACACTGGAAATCTGAAACAAACTGCTAGAGAAACTCAGCCGGTCTGGCAGCATCCATATGAAGAAAGCAGTGTCAACGTTTCAGGTCCAGTCTTCAGAACTCTTTGTAGCTAGGCAAAGGTGGTAAATATGCAGTGGAGCATCCAACGAGGTTCAGTGCAAACTGGATAAACAGCATCTCATTTTCATGTAGCCTTCAGGACTCAATGTCAAGTTTAATTATTTTAGGGCCTGAGCACCTTCTTCCATGTCCTTTACCCACTCCCATACCACAAGATTGTCTTGACATGGGCTGCTATCATAGCTAACCTATTTTCACCCACTAACAGTCCCCCACTGGCAACTTTTCTTTCTCCCTGACTCACTGTGTACATTTTGTCTGACCTTATTTGCTGGAGTGTACTTATGTTGCTGTCCCTTCTTGTTACACTTACTATCATTAGTTATATTACTACTTTACGCTGTTTTCCTCTCCTTGAGCTTTAACTTTACAAATGGCCTTTCACATGACTCCTGTCCCATCTCCATCACTTATGACTTAAACCCAACATTCATAACTTCACCTCATCTCACACACCTAGTAATGCTGCTAGCCTTACACAATGTTTATAAGTGCCAGCTATTAAAACATGACACCCACAACCCTCAAACAGATCAATCAATCTCATTTGAGATGCTTAATTCACTCTTGCAAGGCAAGGTGGCACACGAACAGCATCATCTAGGCAGCAGCTGTACGTCCTTACATGGAAGATTACGGCATCCAGAGTGACTGTTGGTAATGCAGAGCTGAAATGACACAAGAGAAGGGTTTTCTCTCACCAAATCCTCCTTTTCATTCCCAGCTTCTCCCTCAACCCATTATCTCTTCAGGTTTAGAACCTATAGATGGTGTAAGCATGCACCTTTTATTTTCCCACCCAACTTCTCCTCACCACAACCCAACCCTCATTCCTCTCTCCATTGTAATATACACAAACTACAACCTGCTAAGACAGTTATGGAAGAACAAGATAGACATTTTACTCCATTGTTAAATGGAATGCTCACAGACACCAGCTTAGATACTGACACCATAATTTGGTGAATGGCTTAGAAGGGGTTTGCAAAGGTGTTACAACAGTCTAACAATTTGCACTTCATTACATTGAGGCAATGGCTACAGGTCAGGAACACTGATCTGCTGTTCTCTCCAGTTGCCTCTCAGCCTAGACTGGTGCTGCTCACGTAGGATGTTTGAAGCCAGGCTTTCTAGTACCAGAGCTGCTGGATAATCATTTTCAAGGCCATTTGCAGCCATGTTGCAACCACTGAGCCAGGCCAAAGCAGATGGAAAACTGGTACGAAGGGAATGCTCAAGGAGTTTGCGTTTGTGTTTTCATCCAATTAGCTACTTTATGGGTATCTGCTTGCTTTTCCAGTTTCTCTTTGGCAAGAGAGAATGAAGTGAACAGAGAGCATAAGTGACCTCCATTACATATAGAGTCACAGAATCATACAGCACGGAAACAGACTCTTCAATTTAACTTGTCTATGCCAACTAAGTTTCCCAAACTAATGTAGTCCCACTTGCCTACATTTGGCCAATATCCCTCTAAACCTTTCCTATTCATTTACCTATCTAAATTTCTTTTAAATATTGTAACTGTACCTACAACTACCACTTCCTCTGGCAGTTCATTTTACATACAGGCCACCCTCTGAAAAAGCTGTCTTTCATGTCCCTTTTAAATCTTTCTCATATCATCTTAAAAATATGCCCCCAGTCTTGAACTCCCCTATTCTAGGGAGACAGCCCTTGCTATTCACCTTATCTATGCCCCTCATGATTCTATAAGGTCACCCCTCAACCTCCTATGCTCCACTGGAAACACTCCCAGCCTATCCCTTTAATCCAAACTCTCTAGTCTCAGCAACATCCTGGTAAGTCTTCTGAAATGTCTCCAATTTAATAATATCCTTTCTCTGACAGGGTGACTAGAACTGTACGCAGTACTCCAAAAGTGGCCTCACAACATCTTGTACAACCTCAATGATATCCCAACTCCTATACTCAATGGTCTGAGCAATGAAGGCAAGGTGCTAAATGCCTTCTTAACCACCCTGTCTACTTGTGATGCAAGTTTCAAAAGAATAACAGGACAGCAAACCACAGGATGACCTAAACACCTTCAGTTATAGCCAGGAAGGAGACTGACAAAGACACATGGCCACAATCACAAGCAATGACATCTTCACCCTGTTGAAGTGAGGTTCTAGTTGTGGCTGCATCTCGTAGCAATTTCAGAGAGAACAGAAACCAAGTTCTGATGTTTATCCATTTTGCAGATGGAGATGAGAGAACTGCTCAATAACACACTGGGTAAATAGGGCCTCCTGTTGAGAATTCTGCTCCCTCTTATCCTACTCTAGGGAAGTGACCATCAACATTTAAAAAGGAATACATTGAATATAGATACGAGAGAGATTAGCAGGACCTGCTGGCAAGGCAAGTCATCACCTTATGGACAGTTGCAATGAAATAAGCAGATGAAACTTCTCCCTCATTTAAACACCATAAGACAGGAATTTAGATTCCCATACAAAACATTTTGTTCCCAACTGATGGGCTAAATAGAGTAAAACCATGCTTAAGCCATACTTTTTTTTTTTTCAAATCTTCATTGTGATACCATACATCATTGCATTATAAATTTTTGGAAATGACCAGCAAAACTAAGGACAATTTGTTGTAGTTGAAGAGATGTGATTTTAGATCATCAGGAGATAAACCTGCCTTTGAAAACTTAATAAAAATTGAAAGAACTGTGGATGCTGTAAATCAGGACCAAAAACAAAGTTGCTGGAGCAGCTCAGCAGGTCTGGCAGCATCCGTGAAGGAAAAAACAGAGTTGTCGTTTCGGGTCCGGTGACCCTTCCTCAGAACTACATGAAAACAAATGGTTATTTCAGAATTGGAGGTGAATGGATAGAAGTCATTTTGAGGAGTGCTTGTCAATTAATAAAGTGCATACTTTAAGCATAAGTACGAACATCCTAAGTCAAACTTCAGGTGAAATATATCACAAAAATGATAATTACACAGCGTGAGTTTTATACTTTACTGTATTCAGGAATACAGTTCAGTAAAAGTTCAAGCAAGCCCAAGATACTTAACATTTCTTGCTATTTAAACTAGTTTACAATCTAACCTGTATGAAAACAGCCTCTGGATCGTTCTCAGTAGCTCGAAGACCAGCAAGCATGGAGAATTTAGCCTTACTGGCAAGTTCAATTCCCACTTCAATTGCCACCCCCTTTTTCTTCTCGGTAGCAATAAAGACTGACAGCTCATTGGAATATTTCTTCAGCATGCTGTAGGAGAATCCGTATAGAGGAGTTACATGATACAGACGCCATTGTTTCTGCAGCAACACTGCAATCTGCTCTGCATTCTCCTGCAAAAGGACAAAAGATTTGCCTCCAGTGAACACAAGCAAATCAACTGCTGTAATATGTCGATCCATCATTCAGCAATTAGCTCTCGCAATAACTGGTAACATTTCAGTTGAAAATATGACTATGACTTGCATTCTAAGCATAGTTTAAAAAAAAATCACAAGGCACTTCACAGGAGCATTAGCAAACAAATTTAAACACCAAGTAACAAAAGTATTTTGGAAATTTATATAAAAAAGTTTGGTGGAAGAGGTAGGTTTTGAGCTGCACCTAAAAGGATAAAATAAAAACAAAAATGAAATAAAGTAAGGAGGCAAAGAGGATTGAGGGAGGGTATCCCAGAGCCAAAGCAGCTCTGCTAATGGTGAAGCAATTAAAATCAAGGATGTTCAAGAAGCAGAATTGGAGCAGTTCAGATATAGGGGTAGGGGGTTGGAATTCGAGAAAATTGCACAGTTAAAAAGGGGTGAGGCCACGAGCAATTTAAAAACCAGAAACTGCTGAACCAGGAGACAGTGGAGGTCACCAAAATAAAGCTGACTTGTAAAGGGGACTTTGTGCAAGTTATGGCATGGTGGCAGAGTTTTGAATGACTTCAAGTTTCCAGAGAGTGGAAGTGGGGATGGACGGGAGGCTGGCCAATAATATGTAAAATAGCCAAGTCTACAAGTAATAAAGATACGAATGAAGTTTTCATCAGATGGACTGGGGCAGTGCATAGTTGGCTAATATGAGAGAGGAATAAATCAGTAGTCTTAATGATGGCCTGAACGTGTGGCAGGAAGCTTCTGACAGGTCAGACATGACATCCCAGGCTGCAAACAGTGTGGTTCAACCTCTCAATTACTAGCAGAGTTATGTATGAATTTAAGAGAAACCAGGAGAATACACAGGCACACACATAGTTGAGAGCCTTTGGAATGCGATAGGGGTAGAAGTTAATGACCAGAGAGATTTTGCGATTTAAGAAAAGCATAGATTGGTAGTTGAAGTAAGCTGATATAGATAGACATGGGATCAGCATACACTCACATGACTAGGAGTAGACTATGTTTAGAACATATACACCAACATGGGCTACTTGAGCCAAATGACATGCTTCCACACTAATTTCTTGACTCCAAGTATAAAAATCCAATTTTACTCTCTTTACTCCTTCTCCAAACAATACATTCAAAACCAAAACACCTAGGCTAGAAAATTGTTTATAATGAAAATCAAAAAAAGTTATTAGTTTTACTGACTACTGGCAAGTCTGTTCTAGGAATCTTCCGTTTGGCTGAAGTGTGGTGAAATGCTGTATGCCTTTTCACGGTCCTCAGAACCACTGGAGAAGGGTCTGTATTGGCAAAACATACACCGAAGCGTGCCATTCCTGCCTTGGCAGGTGTCAAGTGCTCCATATTAAACCTGGAATCAAAACAAAACAGGTGTATAATTTTGTACAGTATTTGAGGCAGTAAAAATTCTCATATCATTTAATAACAAAATTGATCACTGAGGGGTTTTAGAAGATGGAAAGCACAGCTACAATGTTTTTTAAAAATGTGATTCAAGCTTGTGATCTCCCTTTTAAAATAGATGGTTCCCATTCTTCTGTTGAACACTTGGTGCAGCATTTATGCAATTTCCATTATCTTATTTTTCTACAAAGGGAATACGTCAAATGTAGCTAGTGTCATCTAATAGGAAGAGGAGATTAGATTTTGCAACTTTCAAAGAAGATTTGAAAAAAAAAAAACAAGATTTGGACATCACTCTTTATATACTGTATTCCACTTGTTTGTGTTCATATCAAGTAGTGCAATCCCACCCAAGTTGCTTCATTTGTTCATACAAGCTAGCCATTTAACACAGTTGCCAACATTGCAGAACAATAGCCATTAACAAAGACAGTTAGCTTTTCCAACAAGCCAATGGGCACCAGCAATCCTGAGTTAGGTTGGGGATGTCTACGTGCAATTTCTAAATCCAGTCACTATCTGACAGTTCCTTCTGGAGTTGTAGGAAGAGGACAAGATCATGCACATAGTCATAGACGCATGCAGACCCTTTTGTCCAACTCATCCATGCTGACCAGGTTTCCCAAACTAAACTCGTCCCATTTGCCTGCATTTGGCCCCTATGCCTCTAAATCTTTCCTATTGATGAATGATATGCTTTCTTCCGTTCTTTCCCAAGCCACAGTAAATGTATCCAATTAATTCACATAAGAATGAACACGTGTATGGAGTATCCCAGGATGCCTGTGCGGTCGTAGCTCAGTATTTTAGCTCATTAAGTCAGGGCATTGAAAGGTGCAATAGTTTCAACATTAAATGTAATGTTGTTACAAATGGTCAATCAAATAGGATAGAGCTGTTTATTGGCCAGATCATCCACATTGAATTTAAACATCTTAACTGTGTTCCATTTAGCACTTCTTCCCCAGTTATGGGAAATAGAAAAGGCTAGTTTTGAATTGCTGCAGTAAGAAATGTTTTTTTCTGGAGTTGAGGCTGACACAAAGTGAGAGGGTATACACATAGAATGTAATTACTATCTCTGAATTGAAATAATTAGCACATTAGGGAGTACAGCCCATAAAGAGCAGTGGTGAGAACATTTGTTCAGTTTAAGTTATATTTTTGATTCTCTAAATTTTCAGAGGATGCCACATCAATACTGTAGAGGACTGAAATAACTTACAAGAAATTAATAGAGATTAAAATGGCACATAGATTGCAAGTGAATTCAACAGCTAAGTGTGAGGCAAAGTATTATAGTTTGGTTGGAGGGTAAGTTAGATTTGGAGAGCTTAAAGGAAGGGAGATGGATTTGAAGAGTGTGAAGGAAGGAATGCGGATTGAGAGCATGAAGGAAAGGAGGATTCAAGACTTAAGCACAGTCTGTATTCTCTTGATAAAACTTCTATGGTCAAAGAAGAACAATCCCAGTTTCTGTATTTAATTGAAGCACAAGATCTCAAGGAATCTTAACAGGGTGATGTGCAAAGGATATTGCCTCAAGGGAGAATCTCAAACTGAAGGCTCTGCTCGAAAGTAAGGGGTTGCCTATGTAAGACACAGGAGGAGAAACTCTTGAGGGTTGAGTGCTTTTGAAATATTCTTCCTCTAAAAGTGGTGCAAACAGGCAGTGGTAGATAGAATTTTGACAAGTAATGATTAAGTGTCAGTCTTACCATTAACACATTGCCATTAATGTTTAGAACAGATCAGAAAAAGTGCTACAGAAGTGACTTTTTGGGAAATGCATCAATAATATTTGAGGATATTGTACAGGAAATATAGTAAAGTCTTACATATTTGCTCTTTTTCCACCTGGAGCATAATTCAAACTATAAATCTGAAAAGGTATTGATATTTTAGTAAACACATTTGTTGTTATCATTTAAAAAAATTAGTAACAGTTTCATAATTCAAACAAGTAATTTTGAATGATATTTACATCCCTAATGTGAAGTAATCAGATCAGCCATAATCTTATTAAATGGCAGAGCAGACTCGAGGGTCTGAGTCGGCTACTTCTGCTTCAAATTTGTATGAACATATGAAGTCCTTTGCCTTAATATTCAATTTAGAGTAAATTTCCTCTAACCTTCCTCAGTTATTGGCACCAGATTTTTAAGATGGATGTCAAGATTGAACATAATCGTCCAGTGGAACGAACTAGCACTTTAAAAATGCTGAATGCAACTTTCTTTGCTATTTATAGTCAAGATCCCATTTCCCATCTAAACAATTTTCTCAACTTGACCTGTCACCTTTGCGTACATACCTCCCGGTTCCTCAATTGCTGCTCCTGCTTAAAATTGTACCATTTCGTTTACATTGCCTCTCCATAGTTTTCCCACCAAGAAAAATCATTCACGCTTCTAAGCCTGTTCACTACAATACTAAGAGTCATTACTTCACCGGACGTTAAAATGATGACCTAGATCAGGTCACTACACATGACAAAGAACATCACAAAACTGATTCCCCAGGTGACACCTGGGTCTATGCTTAGACTCCATACAAACTTGCACCTAATTCATCATCAAACGTCACTTGCTCCAGAAGTGTGTAATAACATCTCCTAACAGGTTGATTAAAAATATCCATTCCTCTATCCTTTTTCTCCTTCATATGTTTACCTTACTTAAAGCATCCGTTCTGCTCACTTCAAAGAAACAGCCGCTCCATGTGCTCTGCAGAAACCATACCAGTGGAGAGGGAGATGGTCGCGAACAGCCCGGCTCTCTCTTTTCTTTTCCTCTCCTCCCAGTCGGGGGACCTGATGCTCGGCTTTCCGGTGAGTAAGTAATCCGGCCCCCGGCTGCAGAGACTCACCAGTAACCGGAGGCCCCTCCGGCGATCAATGTAGGCAAATTCCCATCCAGAAGTTCCGTGGAAGAGTCTTGCACGGTGCCCAGAGGTCGCTCTACCGAGAGGGTGTAGAGAAAGAGGATTCTTCGGCCCTCGGGAACCACTCTGCCAGAGGGCGTGGCAGGGAGAAAACGAGGATAATATCTGAGAAAAATTTCTCTACCGCTGGTTTCCCGCTTGGTTTAAATCAGTCTCCCGTCCTGCACCGCGCTGCCTATCAACAGACCAGAAGAGTTGAGAGCCGTCTCTACTACCACTAGGATCCGCGGATGGGGTTGATTGGTTATGTCTGTCGTCAGGGTGAAAGGTCAGAGGCGGCGTGGCCGGGAGGGGATCAGTAGCGATCCTGTTACATCTGCCAACCAGAGAGGCCTCGAGCTTGTTTTTACATTTTTGTTCGGGAGATGGCACAGGTTGCGCGGCCGGTCTTGGGCCTGTGTCGGGGCCCGGTGCCGGTTCTGCTCCGCTTGCTGGGACTCAGAGGGGTTTGTAGTTCCCGCTGCAACAAGCAGGCTCAGCCTCTGCAGAGCCACCCACCACAACGGCCCGTTAGAGCTCCGAGAACAGAACCAGGTGAGGCCCTTCACACCGGGTATTACTACCGGCAAGGATCTCACAAAACACCTCAACACCAACGATGTTTTCTTTCAACTTTTTTTTATTTGACCTTTTATGGGTGTCGCTGCATTTATTGCCCATTCGTAATCGTCTTAGAGAAGATGGTGACCAGCTGCCCATTGCACTGCCAGTGGTCCATGGGGAGGGTGCAGTTTACTCTGTGCTGTTGGGGAGACGAGTGAATTTCAGGATTATGACCCATCGACAGTGCAGGAACGGTGACATAGTTCCAGTCAGAATGATGCGTTAATTATTAGTGAATATTCCCACTTCTCACCTTGTCTGATAGACCTTTCAGCTAAGATCAACGGTAGTATCAGTTTTTAAAAAAAAAATAAATGAAGCTGCTGTAGATGTTCGTGCTGAGGATACTACTCTGTGGTACTCCTGCATTGATGTCGTGGGATTGAGATGATTGACCTCCAACAACCACGGCCGTCTTTCTTTTGTACTAGGTCTGATTTCAGCCAGTGGAGAATTTTTCATCGATTCCCATATTCATTACTCTTGTTGTGGATACTTCAAGCCACGTTAAGTCATCTCTCCTTGATGTCAGTGGAAGTCTCTTAATATCTCTTAGGAGCTTTGTTCTTATGTCCATGTTTGGACCAAAGATGTAATGAGTTCAGGAGCCAAATGACCCAGGCAGAACCCAAAATGAACATTTGTGTATATTGTTGTGTAAATGCCACTTGAAGTCACTGTCAGCAACATTTAGCCAATGATTGAGAGTAGATTGATAAGGCTTTAAATGATTGGGATGGATTTGTTTATTTGCGGATAGGACATACCTGGGCAATTTTCCACATTTTGGGCTGATGCCAGTGTTATTTTTGTATTAAAAAAAGTGTCACTGTGGGCTCAGCAGTTTCTGGAGCACAAATCTTCAATACCTTAAAGCTATTAGATGTAGGAACAGAAGTCGGCCATTCAGTATGCTCCATCATTCAATGAGATTGATTATGGCTGATCTAATAATCCTAAACTCCACTTTTCTGCTTTTCCCCCATAACCCTTAATTTCATTATTGATTGAAAATCTATCTACCTTGGCCTGAATATACATAATGATCCGAACCTTCACCTCTTTCTTGATATTACATGGAGTGAGTCAAGTTGGCTGAAGACTGGTGGCTGTGATACTGGGGATCTCAGGAAGAGGAGCAATGATGTACTAGGCTTCCTCATCATTGAGAATGGGGATATTTGTAGAATCTGATATTGTTGTTGTTTAATTGTCCGTTACTGTTCACAGTTGGATGTGGCAAGCCTGTAGAACTTTGATACACTCCATTTGTTGTGGGATTGCTTGAAAATTTGAATGATTTTATTGTCACTTGTATTTGGGAAAATATAGTGAAAAGTATTTTGTTGCCACAATCCGGTGCCATTTTGGATTACAAAATGAACAAAAAGAAATTATGTAAATAGGGCTTCATCTTCTATTCAATAAAGGAAAAATATAAAATTAAAAAAATGACAAGTAATGTTCAATTTTAAAGTCCTTGTCAAGCATGGCTTTGGATTTTCTTAAGGTCTCTGGGATTTCTGTAAGGTGTTCCGGTCTCCACACTACAATGAGCCCCCATTCTGGGTCCAGCCAATGCCCCAGGAGTACCCGGCTCCACTGCTGCCAACATTGCTGGGAGTCCTGATCAGGGCCCACCAAGCAGCCAAAGCTGCAGCCATCCTTCGCCAACTTTGCTGGGAGTCCTGATCAGGGCCCACCAGGCAGCCAAAGCTGCAGCCGTCCTTTGCCAACATTGCTGGGAGTCCTGATCAGGGCCCACCAGGCAGCCAAAGCTGCAGCCTTGCTGACATCACTAGGAGTCCCCACACAGGGCCTACCGCAACAATGAGCCACAGCTGCAGAGAACACCTTTGCCATGAGTCCCACTCCAGCCTCCTCTGCAATGGCACCTCCTCTGCTGCAGGCAAGAAGATGATGAAGAATAAGACAAAGAAAGAAGATGAAAAGGAAAGAGAAAGGAGGATGCAGCTAACCTGGAGTGGGCAGGCTAAGCAGCCTGAACGCTACCTAGCGTGCTGCCACCCCTGCCATCTTGAATTCTTAGTGCTTGTTCTATTGAATACTGGTTCTGCTGTTTTACATATAAATAATCCAATGTTGTAGCTTCACAAGGTTTGCACCCCCTTTTTTAGATATAGCTGTGCTGCTTCTGCAATATTCTCCAACACTTGTTTTGAACCAGTGTGTGATCCTGTGACTTGATGATAATAGAGTGAGGGATATGCAAGACCATGAGGTCACATATGGTGATTGAATACAATTCTGCTGCACAAGCCCATAGCATCTAGTGGATGCTCAGTTTTGAGGTGCTATTTATGTTCTAAATCATAGCATTTAGCACCATGGTGGTTCCACACAACATGGTGTAGGGATCCTCAATGTGAAGGCAGAACTTTGTCTCTACAAGGACTGGGCAGTGGTCATTCCTACTAATACTGAAAGAAACAGATTCATCTGCAATAGAGAGTTTGGTGAGGATGAGTCCAAGTAGCTTTTTTCATTTCATTGGTTCCTTTGCCATCTGCTGCAGACTAAACCTAGCAGAAATGTTCATCAGTACTTGGTCAGCTTGGTCAGTTCTACCAGCTCTAATGCTTCTGTCTTGCTGGTGGGCAGGGATGGTGATGGTGATGGTGGTGTCTGGAACATTGTAAGGTATAATTCAATGCATATGACTCTGTCAGGATGGTGCTTTACTAGTCTGAGACAGCTCTCCCAATATTGGCATGAGCTCCAGATTTTCATCAGGAAGACTTTGCAAGCTCAACAGGACTGGGTGCGCCATTGTCATTTTTGGTGTCCAAGTCAGTGATGGGTAGATATGTTCAAATTCATTACCTTTTGGCTTTACTGTGCCACTTTGATACATCTGAAGGGCTTGCTAGGCCATTTCAGAAGTCTTAAGAATTTCCCGCATTCTGGTGGTCCTGGGGTCACAAATAAAAGAGATGAGGTAGAGATGGCAAATTCCCTTTCCCAAAGGACATAAATGAAACACAGGTTTTACCATGATCAATGATACTTTAATAGTGGCCCTTACTGGGACTAACTTTCAATTCCAAATTTATTAATTAATTGTTTTAAAATGCATCAGCTGAACCTTTGTCCCTACAGCATTAACCTCTTTATTACTAGTTTGGTTATACTACCACTATGATACCATCTCCCCATGAAGTATTGTCACTGTTTATATCACCATTGGACTTATCAGCCATTCAAATCTATAAAACTGGATTGGAAGCAACACCTTCTCCATCCTACAGGACTTTCTAAGAGAAGAGTAGAGTCGCTATTGTTGTGTAGGAAATGTAGGCAGCAGTTTACACACGGAAACTCCCCACAAACAGCCCTGTGATAATGACTAGATAATTTTTTTTTCATGTTAATTGAGTGGTAAATATTGAATAGGACACAGTGGATAACTCCCCTGCTTATGATATGAGGGTGGCATATTAGCATGGATAGAAGATTGGCTGGCTAGCAGAAAATAGATCTGCATAAACAGATCTTTTTCGAGAGGATATATTTGGCTTGAGAGATGGTCCTTGAGCTTTTGCAACCTTTTGAGAGTCTGCCTGCAGCCAATGGGAATTCTGAGGCATGCACTCAGGTGGCCTTGAAAGTAATAGAGCCTGTAAATTTCTCTGTAATAAAAAACGAAATTACTATGGATGCTGTAAATCAGAAACAAAAAGAGAAACTACTGGAATAGCTCAGCAGGCCTGCAGCATCTGTGGAGAGAAATCTGAGTTCATGTTTCAGGTCGAGTGACCCTTCTTCAGTAATTGGTGCTTCCATCAGGGTTGATGACTTCAAAGCCAACTCACACAGTACTGCAAATTACGCTCTAACAAAATAAAATTATGTATACTTAAGGTTGAAGTCAACTCTACCAGTGTGTTAGACCTTTGTTGGTGTTGATACTGCATATTTGGTGCCCTTTTGTGCACAGGTTACAAGGGGAGATCTCTGCACTCGGACTTGGTCCAACCCCAAACAGAATCTTAGGTTGCTAACTGCAACCACATCCCTGTCCCCTTCTGCAATCTACGAAAATGGTGGGTGAAGTTGGACTGGTTGAATGTTTGCACTTTATAAATTGAGGTTGAGACCACCTCATGTTTCGTGAACCAAAGACAAACACTCAGTCCTAAGAGAAGGATGTTTGTGAGTTCAACCCCGAATCCAGAGTTCTGGGCATATGGTGTAGAATCTACCCTCCTGGGAGAATCTCAAAATAATTTAATACTGAGGTGTGGAGGAATTTCTCCTGAGGCTTGGGAGTTTTTGGAACACCTTGCCACAGGGAGCTGTGGGGGCAGAGTCCTTGTGTAGATTTAAGGCTAAATTAGGTTTTTAATCAATAGGGGAATTGAGGATTGTGGGGAAAGGACAAGTAAGTGGCTGTGAAGGATGTCAGATCAGCCGTTAGAACACTAGAACACTATGCTCTTTGAATAGTATCATGTAGATTTTACAAGTTCAGTTGAAAGATTGAAACTTCTATGGGAGTGAAAATTGGTTTTCTTTTTTTTTGAAGAAATACTTCCTGTAGAATTACTCAGAGGTTTAGATAGGCTGCTTCAGTTTTTTTTGTTTCTGGGATGTGGGTGTTGCTGGCCAGCATTTATTGCCTATTTCTAATTGCATTGAGAAGATGATGGTGAGCTGCCCTTTGAAGCCCTTAGGAATGGTCAGTGCTGTTCTAAAACAATCTGGCCACTAGAGGCACCCAGGATTGTTCTCTGAAAAATATCCCCATTGAATTTTCATTGTCTGTACCTGTACAATTGGCTGCTTCCTTACCTGAAGAGGTCCAATATATTGTTTTTCTGCATCCAAGCATTTTGATAGTAGGTCACTCCAACCCATCCTTCCCTACTCCCCATATCCAGTTTTGTTGGATATTAGTGATGTCCACAGCCTTTAAAATGCAACTGAGCTGGGAAGATGAGGTTAAATTTGACTTATTTTGTTCTTTTAATTTATGTTATCTCTAAGAAATATTTCTTTAAAACTCTTGACAACTAATTCAATGTCTCTCTGTATAAGTTTGTTATATTTAAAATGTATGGGTATAAAGTGCCTCACTCAAATCACTCCAATGACATTGCTCTATGACAAGCATCAGCATGTAATAGTTCCATATGCTATTCAACTGATGAACGCTTTGTTTCTTCCAATAGTAATATGCGTGATTACCCCATTTAAAATTTTTGTTCTTTCTCTCTTCAGACCTGAATAGTTTTGCCTTACGGACTCATACTTGTGGAGAACTGTGTACTGCTCACATTGGTCAAGAGGTCAGACTCTGTGGCTGGGTTCAGTATCAGAGGTATGTGTGCAGTCATTTGTTCGTTCACTGATTTGTACAATTTACAACAACAGGGACCAGGGTATGGTATTTACATGTTAAATACATTAATTATCAACAGTGCTAATTGATTGAAATTTAAATCAGTAATAAAATGTATTTTTTAAATCTGATCTATTTGATTTTGTGAAGTAGTTGTCAGGTTTTACATGACTAGTTCTTTATTATGCTTCACAACCTGGATACTTCTGTTCAGGTTGCATGATGACATTTTATGACCTAAAGAAGCTAGAGAGTTCACGGGTGTGTCATTTGACTCTGCCTTTGAATAGTTATCTAGCATGTACTTCTGCCCCTGGCTAACCATGCTCTGTGCATAGCTGAGAGAGTGGGAAGCTAGCTCTGTTCCAAACATATTGCCAGACCTGCTCCAAAGATGTCATCTACAGAGCGTTACCTTCAAGTGACTGATGTTCATATTCAACATTATATGCCCAGGACTTGCCAGAAAACAGACAGCAAGATTAAGAATGGGAGTGAATAAAATAGAAACACCCTTTTTGAAGTAATGTCAAAGTTGACTGAGCCTGCATTTCTATACAGCATTACTATTTTTTACTTTCTGTGGGTATTTCCATGTAGATGCTTTAAATTTTCAGCTGTTTTGTTTACTCTTCCTATTTTCTTTTCTCCCTAAATTTCCTGGGCTCTGCTCAAGGATAAGTAGGAGCTGCATGTTGTCTAGCCAGTCTTTTTATGGTTACAGATGGGTAGTAGTTGCAACTCTGTCTGCTTTTTCAAAAACAAATCACTGTATGTAGCATTGGAAGAAGGCCCAGCTCCTGGGCCTCTTAACTGGGGTGTCACAGTGTCTCAGAAGTTAGCACTGCTGTCTCACAGTGCCAGGGACCCAGGTTTGATTCCCGCCGTGGGTGCTTCAGTTTCCTCTCACAGTCCAAAAATGTGCAGGTTAGGTGGATTGGCTGTGCTAAATTCCCCAAAGTGTCTAGGGTGGTGGGTCTGGGTGGGATGCTCTTTGGAGGGTTGGTGTGGATTCAGTGGACCGAATAGCCTGCTTCCACACTGTAGAGATTCTATGAACATAACTGAGGAACAGGTTGTATCAGGGGTGAGCAAATAACATATCTTTGAAAGGTGGAATAAAATTGAAAACTGTTGCTTTGTGTCACTAACTGTTTTGTGTTTGTTCAGACAGGGTGTCTTCATTGTTCTGAGAGATTTTGATGGGTTAACACAGATTGTTATACCCCAGGAAAAGGTAAATAGATTTAGATTTCAGGAAATTTTATTGCATGAATCACCACAGCCACAGGGCTTAATTATAATTGTAAAGCAGATAATTTAGATTTTAAAGATTTAATCCCTCAATTACTTCTTCTGGAGTTTCCTGCCCAAAGCCAAGAACAAACCACTGCACCGCTGCCTTCACTATGGGTAATGCAGGGAGGCAGGTCCTAAGCCATGCCAGCCAGAACCAGGATTAAACACTGTGGCACTATTGGCTATGGGGACTAATCTGATCCACCTGACCCAGCTGACAGCCCAAGGACTCTGGTTTGCTGTGACAATGTGCATTTTAACAGCTGTAGCCTAGAGCTATGAGTCATGATGGTAGAGGCTCCTAATTCTTTCCATTGCATGGCTGACTAGGAATCTTACTTGCTCTTATTGCCTGCTGTTGATATATGTCGGAATGATTTACAAGTTGATACTAAACCTATTTGATCATATTATGAATGGACCTTCCTAAACCGTCAAATTCTGAAGAGGGGTTTGAAACTGTAGCTTCTGACTTGGAGACAGGGATGCTACCTGCTGTACCAGAAGTCCTCCCAGTTGGTGTTTTAATAATGTTAAATTTGTTCATGTTTTGTTAAGCTGAGGTATTCTAAAGTAAGATTTTTAGTTGTTATTTTCTGTTCTGGCTGAGGATTCAACTTACATCTCAGATGTACAATAATGTTGGAGTCTCTTTGTATCCATCCCAATTTGGAAAAAGCATTGTCACTCATGGGGTTTTATTTGATGCCACAGCTTACTATTTCATGGCATATCATATAGTCCTTTAGACTAGCAATGCAGTTCACACCTGCTTGAGGTCCATTCTCTGTCAACCAACCATTTTACATCACCATCTTCACAAAAATATGTATTTTTCTTGTACTTACATAAGCTGGGATTTCACATTTGAATTTGGGTATGATGCTTCTCTCCACAGTCTACTGCACACCTCAAGAAGATATTGTGCGAACTTCCTCTGGAATCTGTAATTACTGTCACTGGAACAGTGATCCCCCGACCACCAGGACAAGCGAATCTGGTTAGTAACTAACTTCTGATCTGGATGTCTAAAGATTTTCAAGTTATGAATATGGTTAGGACCTCTAGATTAGCTGTTCTGTCTGCCTGATGTGTTTGCAACAAAATTATAAACTAATTATAAATTAAAGTGCATACATCTTCTGAAAATACAGCAATGCACATCAACCTAACATTCCACACCCCACGCCCCCTCACCCCATGCCATGAGAGGAGAGCTGTTGTACGATCTGACTTGATTATTGTTTGTATTAATTCCCATACGTGTGCTGCCAGCCTATTTCCAATTACATCACACTTAGACTGGCCTTTGTTGTTCCTGAAGTAATAAGAAGAATGATTTGTCACTGTGCGTAGAGTCCATCCGTTGCTCTACAAGGATACCAAAGACAGGCAATTTAATGTCAGGAAACATAGGCATAAACCCATCTGGTTACCATGACGGATATTTTGATCAAAAATCCCTCCATATCATCCAAATTGCTGTAACAAATGTGTTATCCATGGTTTTCAAGTTATTTTCTGTTTTGGTGTGGGCATCGTTTCTTGCTCTGAGCGGTTCAGAGGCCTCTGTTAATGGTTGTCTGATTTAATTGCTAGGATGTCCTTGAGCTTTGCTCACTGCATGATTTTTCTTTCCCTTTCCCAAATTTCTGGCAATTGCTTCCCAAGCCTATGCTGTAACAGAGTAGAGTGCATCTGTTGTTTAATTTTACTGCATATTTTAAATGAAGTAATTGAAAGGCGTTTTGTTTCAGAAATGCTGCAGTGTTCATTAGTTAATTATGTTTCTTCAAAACAATTAAAGAAACATAAAAATATCTACATGGTATATTAAACATATGAAGAAAGAAAGAAGGAGCAGTAGTAGGTTATTCAGCCCTGTGGCCCTTCCCTGCCTTGCGTTGCTTCTTAGCACAGTCAAAGAGCCAGACAGTTTGATTTGCTGGTCAGCAGCTCTCAGAAAGGAGGGCTGACATCTTGCCACATGGCATATTGCAATGGCAATCTCACAACTGCGTCACGTGCCAGCAGCTTCCGTGGCAAAAATGCTGCATGTGCTGCAAGGAGGTGTCCGAGTTGCAAAGTCACAGGGGTGTGGGCCTTACTGAAGTCCATGGTGGTACCTGTCAATCGGGGGATCCCAGCACAGCAAACTGGGGGAGTAAGTAGTGCCTTTGAGATCAATCTAGGGGCTTGGCCATGTTCAGGCATCCGGTTGGGGTGCTCTTGGTCCAGGGGTCTATGGATGTGTAGTTGAGGATGTGTTCACTGTCAGACATGTGTCTCCTTCAAGATCAGTCCAAGGGTTAGCACTAATACCGGGAGACAGAGGTATGGGCGCTTGTTGTCCCAGACAGTCTGTTTAGGTCATTCAAGTGGGTGGGCCACAATTCATTGTCTCCTTACTAGAAAGTTAAGGAGAGTATGGGGAAAGTGGGCTGCTATTGCAGGAAGAAGATTGGGGAACCCATTCTCGGGAATTGGGGCTACAGGCTGTGAGGCAGGGAGGTGTTGGTTGTAAAGGGGCACAACTAGACATGAGGGGAGGATATGGTAAAGTATGGATGGGAACTGGGTCATGAAAGCGTCGGGGGTGGGAGTCAACAACAGTAACAAGCACCTTCTGAGAAATGACAGTGTATGAACATACCTAGCATGGTCACTTATATACCAGAGGTTAGGGGTAAATGTGGACAGGTGAAGGCTCATATAAGCAGCTTGGATAGGGGTACCTGAGATGGGTTAATGTCTATGGAGTTCATAGAAAGCGCTACCAGGAAAGGAATTCAGATGTCCATGTTCTCACTGATATGCAAACGTGCAGCCTGGAAATTGCTTTCCATGGAGTACTGGCTGCCTTCCATTATGCTGGAAATTGCAACTGTTTAATGGGAAAGAAAATATCTGCAACCACAACTGGAGTGGGCCAGGTAAATGCCTTGACCTGTGAGGGAGATGGCTGCAAAACTGAGTGTCGTGAGACTCTTCAAAGGGTGACATTCCCTAGATTGGACACACCTGTGGGCTCCCAATCTGTGATGACCCTTAATCATTTGCCTGCTCTACACTGAAGCCTTGAAGGTATGCTCAGGTGACCCTGAGCAAATTTGTGTCTTAATGGCCCAGACAGGCAGAGTATATCCTTGTGAGAGGCCAGTGCACCCTCCTAGGCTTGAACTTTCCCAGACATGAAAATCACAAGCAATAGGAACTTAGGAATTAGAAATTGGAGTAGGTAATTAAGCCCTTCGAGTTTGCTACGCCATTTAACATGATCATGGCTGATCTTATCATGATCTTAACTCCACTTTCCTGCCTGCTCCCCATAACCTTTTGTTCTACTTTTCATCAGAAAATATCTATTTATTTCTTGAATCTGTTGATAAGAGTCTGCCTCCACTGCACTCTCTGGCAGTATTCACAACCCTCGGAGAAGTATTTTCTCCTCCTCTCACTTTATATCTAGGCCGTCTTGTTTGAGACCCTCTCACAAGGAAGAGCATCTGTTCCACGTCCACCTTATCAATCCTCTTCAGCATTTTACATTGCTCAATCAGATCCCTCCAGCAAGTACAAGCCCAGGCTATTCAACTGCTCCTTGCATGACAACCGTTTCATACCTGGAATCAACCTTGTGAACCTTCTCTAAACTACCTCCAGTGCCACCACATTCCTCCCTCAAGTAAGACGACCAGAAATGGACGCAATGTTCCAGATGTTTCACCAATGCATTACATAATTCTAACAACGTTTCTTTACTTTTATAATCCAACCTTACAGACTTTTATAATCTAAGGCAAGTTGAAGGTGGAAGGCCCTGCCATCTGTGGAGTGTCTCAGAAGAGATTTCTGAGGGGCCTGTTCACGGTTCCTCCTACTGCTCGGTGTTTACTGCCACTGACCTGTTTCCTTGTAAGAACAGGCCAATTGGTTTGAGGTCAAAGTGGCCTGGCACCAGTGTCACCTTGCTTTGCTGTTGAGAATCAATACCAAGTGATGGAGAGCAGGTTGGTGCATATGCAGCAGACCCTGATACTGCTGGATGTGTCTCTTCATGGCAATTGACATCCTCTCCATGGAGGCACCAGATGATTGCATGCTTGCAGCAGCTGGGTCCCTATATCTTTGCTGTAATCCTGTAGCCTCCTGGGTTCTGAGTCCTGTTGACTCCTATATAGCTGCCTGATGCTCCTGTGTCTGCTTGTGCATGTTCACAAAGTCCCCAGTTGCCAACACCACAGGTCATTTCGTGCTTGAGGCTGAGCAGGTGGCTGGTCTCCGACAGTCATCCGAGTGTGAGAGACCTGGGGTATTTCTTCCTTGGCCAGCTCTAGAGATGTGGCAATATTATGCTCATCAGCATGTGCTCCCAATTCTAATCTAGCTAAAGTTCCCATCCAGGTGCCAGTATCGCAACTGGAGGTGAGTGCAGGAGGCAGCATTACTGACTCTTCCTCTGAGCCTCTAAACTCTTCTCTTGACAGATACTGAAAGCCCTTTCTTACGGTGTGATCCATTTGACCACAAAGATGGTGAACACTCCAGTTGTACCTGCAAGACACAAAAGAGAGAAGGCATCGTAGTCAAGAATCAAGTGTGTGCAATGAACAACACTGACAGTGAGGTTGACATGGGAATTGCACTGGAATGAAGAATTCCACTGGTCTTCTTGGTCTTCTTCTGCAAGGGGAGAATTCTCCACTTGTGGATGGTGAGGAGCCTAATGTCTGGCACCCCACTGTCCATTTGACATCTTTCTGCCCTATTGTGGGCAGTTTTCTCCTTGAATGAAATAAAGGGAGGCATTGAGAGCAATGTAAATGGGGATGGGACTCAGCTGTCTGTGCTGGGGTAGTGGACAGAGGTGGTCTGGGTGAATCAGTAGGCAGCACTGAGGGCATGCCGTGTTTGTAGTGTGGGAGGTGGTGGTTGACTGGGTGAGGGAGGATGTTACAGAACACTAACCTGGGTGGGAGGTGGGGCAATAGCAAGAATACAGTATGTGTGAGGTAGGAGAGAGCTTAGCCTGGTGGAATGGAGAACATCATTGACCTTTTTATCCAACCTTTGGGAATTCCTTTGGACAGTTGAGACTGCACTGTGGGTGATAACTTTGGAGCAGACTAGCAGGGTCAGAGGACTGCCTCCTCTACATCACCCTGTCAACCTTATCCCTGTCTGCCAAGTGGTGCGCCAGGTTTCCTTTGTCTGCCATACCCGGGGAAAATGTCAGGAACAGGGCAGCTTCAGAATGCCAGTGCTTGTCTGGGTGTGTAACAATGTTTTAAAGATGTTCCATTCCGGGATATCCACTGTTTGGTGAGTTCTTTCAGTTACGGTGTGTGGTAGATTTGGGCTAGCATCAAAAAAGAAAGGTGCCATAAGGACTTGATAGGTTGCTAATGGGTCAGGTTTGGAATGATACGGTGAGGAATCTTGCTAGGCCTTACAGACAGAAACCCTCTATAACACTCTCAAAATTGACAGTCAAAATATTGCAAGATTCAGCTCCTTGACTTTGTGCAATAATACTGTATGGAAGAGTCAGCCTACATAATCTTGTCCATACAAGTGCTGTAAACATTGGGTCATTTAGAGTCATTTTTGTTTTTTCTTTCTTGTACTGAGAATTTACTACTTGTTGTGCCGGTTTCAGTGTGGTTTTGCCCTGATGGTGTGAAATCTGATATGACCCAGTCCTTTTTTTGTATTTTAGGAGATGCCAACAGGAAAAATTGAAGTGCAAATGCAGCATGCTGAGATTCTGAACAGATGTAGGAAGCTGCCTTTTGAAATCAAGGAGCTTGTAAAGGTAAGACTTGGAGCTAAAACGCAAAGTTAGATGTTTACTCTTACTTTTGCTTTGGCCTACTTTCTTGATCCTCATAAGTGTAGCACATTCTCATCTTACTGCACTGTCAAGATACTCTGACAGATCTCAGGTTTTCGAGTCTCGCATTGTAAATGTATACAAGATTTGGACAGAAATGCACTGGCATGCCCTTTTTCCTCTGGTCCACATCACTCTGGTATGGATTTTGGTCTGAAATTTTAATTGTTTGATAGTAGAAAGTATTGAATTTCAGTTATTTTCCTCTTCGTTTTCTTCCTGGCTTGAAAATATTGACTTATATTGGCTTATGTTACCAATCATAGTAACACCTATCCAATAGATCACAATGTAAGAGGAATGGCAGTGATTATATCAGGCCTCAAACCTGTCTCCAACACCCTGACAGATGCAACCTTTAAAGTAGGTCACCAGACTGTGATCCGACATAGAAACCTGATCCGACCTGTCCTCTCCCTAGTCCAAAAGCATGGAAGTCAGTTGTTGAGCTCCAGTTTCTGCCCATGTTGAGATGAGTTAACTGGTCATTAGCCAAATATTGTGGTTGGGATCTTTCTGACAGCATATTCATCTATCCCTTCTGTACTCGTAAATAGATTGTTCTAAAGGATGGTCCCTACTGCAAGACAACCACAACCTAGACAGCTACTTGTAATTTGGCTGTGCACCCTAACTTTCCTCTGTCGGTAAAATGCCCACTTTTCACAAAGAATTACTTAACTGTCATAGAAAAGAACTGACAAAAATCTTGCTGATTGTACACAACATTATTTACTTCATTCTCTCATAACTGTAAATTTTAAATGGGTGTATTAAAAAGTTTTTCCAACCTACTCCCTGCAGTTTTTTTCTCTTCTGCTCAATCTCCTGAAGGCAGTGATGTCTACAGGCTGGAAGTAGCCAATACAAGTTTTTGTCCTTTGAGCTTGGATAGTGAGTGCTAATATCCTTTTTGATCATGGGAGCCATCACATTCTATCCTGGTTGTGTTTTCATCTGGTAAATTCCAACTGTGAAGCTGCAGACAGCATCTGTTCTCCTAATCCAGAATCAATTGACCGAGTGTTGTCCCTTCAACTGCGACCCATACTGAGATAACTCAGCTGAGGATGGGAGTCAGTTCCAGACAGTAAGGCTCAATGCCATAAAACACTGACTTGTTGTAAGTGGCTGTACTGAAGAGCTTTCTAAAGTAGATTTGTGTACTTGGTGCCTCTCAAAATTAGATACAAAACCGACTGACTCTACTACTACTCAAGGTGTTTGGTATTTCAGATAGATTGCTAATATGTGACAGAAAAGCATTGCTGAAACTGAAAAGAAGAATCTACAAAAGTAGACTTGTTATATAGTGCAGAAACTTGGGTGACATCAAGAACAGAAGAACAATGGATACTAATGTGTATGTTGAAATAGATGGTGTAATGAAAATGCTTAAATTTAGATGGTTGGTGAGTATTGTGGAAGCATTGAAGAAAATATTTGAGAAGAAATTAAAATGGTGTGATCATTTGAGGTTAGAGAGAGGAAATCTGTCTGTGCTGAAACAGAAGATGGAGATGGGACTGCTAGGATGAAGAAGAGGAGGAGGACCTAAGATGGAAAGTTGCATTGGTGAGAGATATATTGCTGGGTTAGAAAGGAATAAGTGACTGACAGGAGGAGATGGCAGGAGGGTGATCAACCAGCCTTGCAGTGACCCCAAGTGAAATGGAAGAACATGAAGAAAGAAGATAATACTAGTAAGTTATTAATAACTTATTTATCTTCTGCCGAAAGAAGCAGAGAACATAAGAAATGTTTGTACTGAACTAAGTTGTTAAGATATGGGATTCTATGCCTGAAAGGGTATATTATGCTTGAAAGGAGAAGTGTTTCTGGCTATGCACAAAGAAGGCAGCATTGGGCCAGTTTCATCACTTTCAAGGAACACACACACACTAACTGGTCCTTCTGCGCTATAACAGTTATATTTTAATTTTTATTTCATGCCACTTTCTGGCATGTCAGGCTATATTTCTGAAATTCAGAATTTCTACTTTCCTGTAGAAATCAGAAGCACTGCGCATGCAGTACCGCTACCTGGATCTGAGGAGTTCCCAGATGCAGTATAGCTTGCGACTGCGGTCCCAGATGGTAATGAAGATGAGAGAGTATCTCTGTAATTTACATGGTAAGAAATAAAAGCAAAATATTGTGGATGCTGGAAATTTAAGTTAAAAGCAGAAAATATTGGAGAAACCGGGCAAGTCTCTCAGCATATATGGAGAGAGAAACTGTAAACATTTTGTATTTGATACGACTGTTCAGAAGAAAAACAGCAGTATGAGCAGAATGCAGAAACAAACACAGATTTTGAGAAAGTGACATTAAAGTAAATACAAGTAAGATGACATCTTATGATAGAGTTAACAGGCAAGTTCCATGATAGATTCAACACCACCTACTTCTAATCTAAATTAGATCTTACAATCGAGTTTAATTTCTGGTAACATTTGCTACCCATCTAATCAACAGAGGCATGGCAGGCCATTTTAACTCTGTCAATTCCACATCCTGTGTCGTGAATCACTACTGTTAAGTGAATCTGTCAATTGTGGCCTGTTTATACGAGCTGATCCAATAAGAATCACACGTGATTAGTTCATTTTTTTCAACAAAGCTGAGTAAAACTATATTGTTCACAAAATGATAGGAGGCATGAAACCCCCTGTCTGAAATTGTGATGTCTTTGTTGTGTTTTATCTCCAGGTTTTGTAGATGTGGAGACTCCAACGTTATTTAAGAAAACCCCTGGTGTAAGTGATGCAAATTATTTCGTTCTTCCTTCAACTCTCCTGCAGTGTGTTTTCTTGTCTTTATCATTTTCCAACATAGGCTGAGATTACACTTGCATGCATGTGACATTCTTTATTTGGTCACAACAATTTTTTCTTTGAGAATTCTGGGGTTGCTTTCTTCTAAATTTCCTTGCCCTTTGCAATTCCCTGAAACATGAAGACTGCCTTTTCATTATCACACTTTACAAAGTACAGTTTCCAGCAATGCAACCATTAAGCTCATATCTTGAAAATGATAAATGCCGTGTCACTTTTAATCTGGGAGGAAAGAAAAGGTTGAGGTGGAGAAAAATCATTAACTATTCTTGCCTTATTTGGATGGAATAGACAATCTACTCTCTGTTCCACGGATTGATGACAAAATGACTTTGTGCTGCAATGCCAACAATCTCACATGATAAACCAGCAGAGATTTTTGTTTGAAAGAACCTCATCTCTGTTCTCCTCAGCTCATGATAAGAACAGGTGGATGATTATGGAAGTCTAGAGTGTAGAGAACATACGTTAAATGTTTCTTTAAAAAATCTTTCATTATTAAATTTGTGCATGAATCTTGGCAAAACAATTTATTTTGGCAATTTGAACTTAAGCTGTTTCAATGAATTTTTTTGAAATCCAGTTTGGCAACTTCCTTTCCTCGGACTATCTGTCAGTTTGTCTTCTGCAACATTGTAGTTGTTTGCCATACAAAGATGGAGACTTGTGATAAACAATATGGCCCTTGATTCTACTATGATCTGTACACATACGGTACGCTATCATTAAGTGTGGAATATGAACTTTCTTCAGTTTTACCTTGTTACTTGGTCTGCAGGGAGCCAAGGAATTTGTGGTACCCTCAAGGGAGCCAGGGAAGTTTTACTGCCTCCCACAGAGCCCTCAACAATTCAAGCAGCTGTTGATGATAGGGGGACTAGACAGGTAAGCCCCTACGCTGCCTGTAGTAGACTTTAAAGTATTGATCTGACCTCGAGACTAACTGCAAGGAGATTTAAAACCGCCTTGCGAACCTAATATCTGAGTGTGTCTCAAAACTTTTATTGCTAACACTTGTTCTGCACAAATTCTGTAAACACATTTTTTAGTCTTTAAGAATTAATAGTTTGTGTCAGCCGGATGCCACGATTTCTGTCACAAAAGGTGGGAATGGAGTTTGTCTATCCTTCTCTGCCCCATTTCAGCTGAGTAAGATCATATGCAAAAGATTATGAGATGAGAGAGAGGGTCAGGTATCATTCTAAAGTTAAAAGTGAAAAATTTCTCAACTATCAATTAGTTGCACACTAATTCTTTACACAACTTATAGTCATCTGCTCAAGTTGGAATAGAAATAATCCAGCCAGTTAACTATGGGAGAGTGAAGAAAGAACACAACCTAAGTAATAAGCATAGAAAAACTGTTAATAGCATGTGCAAAATATTTTCCTTGAATTTCTAATAGTGAATATTACAATTCAGAGAGCAAATATGATTGGTGCATTGTGCCATCTTTTTTATATTCTCTTGTGGGTCGATGGATGGCCACCATTTATTGTCTGTCCCTAGTTACCCTTGAGAAGGTGGTGGTGAGTTGCCTTCTTGAACTGCTGCAGTTATATGCTGTAGGTAGACCTACAATGCTGTTGGGGAGGGAGTTCCACAATTTTTAACCAGCGACAGTGAATGAACAGTGATACAAGTCAGGATAGTGAGTGGCTTGGAGGGGAACTTGCAGGTGGTGGTATTCCTGCTTGAATTCTCAGTAAATGTTTCTGGCACGTGTTGGAGCTTTCTGCACAGAAAATGGATTTTCTGTTAGCAGATCTATATCTTGTAATTCTGAAATCTATAACTTGACATGCAGAATATGACAGGGTACATGATTAATAGTCATCTAATGATTGTGGTTTTTGCATGAGTGAATAATAAAAAAAAAGGTTGACACAGACCTCACAGATTGAGAACTTTAATGTGTGACATTTTGGAGTAAGTGACAAATGCATGTTGAAAAAAAATGAGGGCATCACTGGCTAGGCTAGCATTTATTGCCCAACCTTAATTGCCCGTGGAGCAGTTAAGAGTCAACCACGTTGCTGTGGGTCTGGAGTCGCATATAGGCCAGACCAGGTAAGGATGGCAGTTTCCCGTCCCTAAATGACATTAGTGAACCAGATGGGTTTTTCCAACAATGAACAATAGATTCATGTTCATCATTAGACTCTTAATTCCAGATTTTTTTTATTGAATTCACATTCCACCATTTGCCATGGTAGGATTTGAACCTATGTCCCCAGAATGTCTCTGGATTAACAGTTTTGCAATAATACCACTAAGCCTTCAGCTCCCTTAATAGCATGGCACAATGCAGCCTGTGTCAGAACCTGGTGATGGACTGCAACTTCAGGATTTCAGCATTAATCTAAGCATATCCAATATCCTGAAATTGTGGTTAGTTGCAGAATGCTACTGATTGGTGAATGCTGACAGTCTGCTATCAGATCTAACCACTGCAATGACTTGGTTATTATTGATTAGTTTCAAACACTTGATTATGTTCGGGAACATTGTGGAGGAGGAAGTAGAATGTGCATCTGAACAGAACCAATGTGAATTTGATTCCCTAGTTCTGTGTAAAGTAAACCTCAGAAAAGTTGCAGTCATCAACCTGGGATAATCCCAACTCTTTACCATCAAACTGACTAACTCATCTGAATGTTTCAGAGATAATAGGAACTGCAGATGCTGGAGAATCTGAGATAACAAGGTGTAGAGCTGGATGAACACAGCAGGCCAAGCAGTATCAGAGGAGCAGGAAAGCTAACATTCCGGGCCTAGACCCTTCTTCAGAAATGTCAGCTTTCCTGCTCCTCTGCTGCTTGGCCTGCTGTGTTCATCCAGCTCTACACCTTGTTAACTCAT